TGAAGCTATCTAGAGGGCAGCAAATTGAGAAAGGCTGGTCTAATTCATGTGCCTTATTCACTGGTTCATCTAGTGATTTGATCCAGATGTGAGTGAATGACTGGCTATATCAATCTTCTTTTTTTGGACTTAGTCACAAACCCAACTTTATCAGTGGTACAAAGAAACTTCTGGGATGCAGGGGAGAGAAGCTCTGGTCCAGGATCATTTACTTTGCCTCTCTTGAGCTTCAAACCCTGGGAGTGCTGTGGTTTTGCTTCTGTGTTTTTAGGGATACCGGCAAGCAGGCTTTGGTTTGAAAACACCCCACTTCACGTCCAATACCTGGGACTCAGGTCTAATGTAATTTTAGCACATGTATGTTACGTAATGATTTAGAAGATGTTAGATTTTATACAGAATGCACTCAAAGCACCCTCTGTGCACAGAGTATTACATAATCTTGCCAAAGAAACCTATTTGAAATGCACTTTTCTCGGTTGTACATTTATTCTGTGTGGCTCTGCCCTTTTCTTCCATTTTTAAAAGCTATTTGATTGTTTGAACTGTGTTTGCTAGTGACTTTTCTCTAGCAATTTCTGAAATTCTGTCCACCCTTAGAATATGTATATGTAGCTTGATATTTGAAGAAAGTTCTTGAGCAGTAAACCAGCCAAAATACATTGCATTTGTCAGATAGAGCAGGAGGAAACTCCACAGACCTTGAACTCCAACATTTCTTCCCTCCAAACTATTGTCTGAAACTGGTTTGTTTAAATATTATGTCTAAAAGTAGCCATTTTCTAAGGCTGATCTGATTTTCTTGTCAGCAGCTCTGATAAATATCTGACAAATAAATAACATTTGAGCAGGCCCAGCCTTACCTGTAGCAAAGAAAAGCATCTGCATTAAGCAGCAGATATGGGTCAGAACCTTAGCAGACAAAAGTGTGTCTCTTCTCAGTCTCCCCTCTTGCCACTAAGTCCTCCTGTTGCCCTTAGATGTATCCTCATTGTCAATGTTGAAGGAAAATTCAACTGCCTGGTTTGTCAATATAGACTAAAGGAGTCACCATCTTGTCCTTCCTCATAGGCAGCAAAATAGCTTGGATCAGCCTAATGTTAGAGTCAAGAATGTATCTTTTTATCCTGACAGAGCTTGCGGGCATTGGCAAATATTTTTAATTTTCTACAGAGGTCATTTGACATCCAGCTCAATACAGATATGGGGAATAATTTCCCATAATTTCTGTATTATACAGAGGTTGACATACCAGGCTGTTGTTTTATATGATGGTTCACTGATAGTCCTTAGTTCTGGGGCTGATGTTGGCCCAAGTCATAAAAAAATAGCCACACTGGACCAATATCCCAACAACCAGCATATATATAAATATATATATATATATATATATCTGTTCCCATCTGCAGTTAAACTGGATGCACTGGAGAAACAAATGTGAAGAGGAAGCAGGGCTGAGTTACATCTTTTGGCAGTAATCAGTTTGAATAGTTCATAAAAGGTTGATTCAAAACAGGCTCAATTCAAGCTATTTTTGTGCTGTGTATTTAAGAAATGTTTGGCAAAAGAGCAAGCTGGTGATAAGATGTATCCTGCTAAATTTCAGGGCAAATGTTACACTGACTTCATGGAGTATCTATGTAAGGCACACTGAAAAGCAATCTGAAATATTAGCTTTTGATCTGTTGCCCTCTGTCACTTTCACTATTAAAAGCAAGACTATCTCTTCGCTAACATGATCAAGAGCCACTGCTGGACCTTTCTTCTATGCATTAAATGAAGTGGTTTAAACAAATAAACACATAATTATATTATCAGCATTCTTGCCATTCTTGGGTAATGTTTTCTATATTAATCATGCACAGTTATCTAGAGGGCTGCAGAAGCCTCACTGGACATCTTAAATTACTGGCTGGACATCCTTTTGATAAGAATGTTCTTTTTCTGGATTTCCTGATTTGAATGGGAAGTTAAAATAAATAGCTTGCAGGCCTCCTCCAGCTTGATTTCTGAGAGCGTGAAACAGGTGGGATGTGGGTCATCATCCCTGTCCTTTCGTGATGTTTCCAGAAATAATAACTTTTATTCCTATGGATGTATTGCTGGGTAATAGCACTTCAAAAAATCAATGGTGCAGTCTAAAAATAGCACTGTCCACCTTGGCATCAAAACTACTCAGATTTCACTTCTTTGGCTGTAGGATACTATGACAAATCAGAACACGGCCCATTAATCAGAATCAGGTACCAACCAACCAACCATTTTTGAAGTTTCTAAATATAAAATTCAAAAGGATTGTGTTTTAGATGTCTTACAACAGAAGATTGCTTTGAACTCTAGAAAAAGCAGAAAGGAACTTCTCAAGCCAATTCCTACCATGAAATATTCCGTCCACCGATTCTCTTTTCTGCATGTATGTTTTCATAAGAGATGCCAATTTGTTTTGTTTCGTTTGAATTTTAAATGAAATGTGGAATGTGATTCCATTAGTATTAGAGCAAAAAAATAAAAAAGGGAAAAGAGGTTTGGAAGGGAGGAAGTCTGTTTTGACTGAGCTAAGAAAAGTCAATTCAAAGTTAGCAGTAGGGACAGAATCATCACTGAATAGGTTAACTTTGCCTGTGCACTGTAAGTTCTCTACCTTAGATATAGATGTAAGAGTTTCTGTATAATGCAAGGCAATGAATATTAACATTTCTTCTGCTGCAGCTGTTTGCAAAGTTTCCATCAATTTTAACAGCTGTGGTTCTATTCTGTGCTGACAAAGTGGTTGCAGAGTTTTTGATCTGCTCACCCTCACTGGTCAACATGGTCAATAATCCAGAGCCCGGTAATGATGAAGTGGTAATGCACCTCACAAGACTCCTATAATTGTCCAAATCTGCAATGTATGTATCTATCCTATCCTCTATTTTTTAAAATGTTAAGAACCTAGAAACTGAAAAATGACATTTTGCTTTTAACTACCGCCATTACTATCCCGGAAGTCATGGAGGCTTTATAAGTAATGTGTTTCGGATTGGTTGGTTGTTTTAGCTTCAGCAGGGTCTTTCAAAACGCATGGAATGATTATTATTTACACGAATGATCCCTTTGTATACCAATGGCCATATACCATAAACTGACTTCTCTGATGGAAACTTCCAGATTGAGTCCAAGCAACACAAATCCAGCATCTACTGTATTTCCAGGGGGGCAGAAATACATCCAATGGATTTGAGTTGGATTTGTATCTAGTAAGATTGTCATTAAAATTGCCAGTATAAATTGGGGAGATCCAGATTAAAACGGTGACTTCTTGACTCTGTTTCGTTACTTGCCTTGACTATTATTGTTGTTGTTACAGATTTCTTGTCAATATGTATGACTATATGAAACCATGTTTTTTTTCCCTTGCATCTCTCCATTTTTTAAACCCCAAACAGAAATATGTAGACGATCACTTACACGTAACATAGAGTAGCAAAAAGGAAGGAAAAAACCCAACTCCCTTTTTATGTATTTATATAGACAGATTTCTCTCTCTATTTCACCACCCAAGCTTTCCTTTCCCTTTGTACATCTATTTCTTGACTCATTGCGGTTCCTTGTATGGCTTTATCAATGATAAGATTTTAAACCAAATCAATTATATCAAATATACTGTTGCTTGAATTGTCCAGCTTGGTGTCTGGATTGTTGGAATTGTATCTCAAACTTTAAGGGAGGGAAGGAATAAAAACTCTCTACCTTTTGCACAGGGTACTTGTGATGGTGGCTGTATTCACGCTTGCAGTCTTACACTGAAAATTTTGTTCACCACAGAGTCTAACATACCCAAGCACTAGGATGAGTACAGATTTATCCAAAGAGAAATTTGAGGTGAATCTGGCTATTCCGGCACAGATGAGAAGGATTCAGAGGAAAACTAACTTGGTAAGACCAATGCAAATTTCAGAAGAGTTTTTCCTAGTTTTCACATTAAGAACTATTTAGAACATGCATGATTTTCTAGAGCTCTAAATACATGAATATGTACTGTATCTTTCAGTGTATCATATAGAAACTAAAGAAATTTATAGACATCTGTCATACCTGAATTCTAAAACAAGGGCTACAAAAAGTCATAGGAAGTACAGTAATAATATAACTCAGTCCAGAATACTGTAGTTCAATGTAGGAGGGATCTGTAGATACTAATTTACAGCATTTTGTGCAGTAAGTGAAGCAAATGTGCCCACAGGTAGTTTGATGAAACCATGTTGAACTAAAGAGATGGTGGTGGACAAAGAAGAAAAAAAAATCATATGCACATATTTATGTATTTATTTTTATGAGGGAAGATCACAAATATTTAAAACAATATCAAGTAATATATTAAAATAAGCTACTAAAATAGAAACTATGTCTGGCTTCATACATTGCATTAAACCATAATGTGGATTATTTGTGGTTCACACAGCATGCATCATTGTGACTAAATGTTTTGTGTGAACAAGACTACTAATATTTATTAAAAGTTGGTTTTTAAAAAGTGGGCCTAGTGTAA